AAATAATGTAGTCATAATATGACATTGTGGTTTACCACTACATCATTTAGCCACAGAGGTTAAAGTTAACAATTCCAATTGCTATTGCTAATACCCTAAGAGGAAGGTTAGCCATCACTGCACTGGCTGTTTGCCTAATGCAGTGATGGCTAACCTTTTTGTCGTCGCGTGCCAAAAGCGGGGGCAGCACGGGGGGTTTGCATGTGTCTGTGCCCACACCCATAATTCAATGCAGCCCGCACATGTGCGTGTGACCCCCCGGCGCTCCCCCCACTTTTGGCACATGATGGTACGGTGGGCCCGGTAGGCCTGTTTTTCACCCTCCCCAAGCTCCAGAGGCTTTCTTGGAGCCTGGGGAGGGTGAAAATGGCTTCCCCCCAGAGGCTGGAAATGACCCGTTTCCTGACTTCCAGTGGCCCAGAAGGCCCATTTTTCACCCTCTCCAGGCTCCAGAGGCTTTCTAGGAGCCTGGGGAGGGCGAAAACTGTCTTCCCCACCTCCCTGGAGGCCCTCCGGAGGCTGGGGACAGCCCGATTCCTGACTTCCGGAGGGCCCAGAAGGCAGAAAATCATGCTTGCTGGAGCTGAACTAGGGCAATGCTCTAGATACGGCTCTGTGTGCCACCTGTGGCATGCGTGCCATAGGTTCGCCATCACGGGCCTAGTGTGTTCTCTGCTGCCTCTTATGTGCCTCCTAATCATTTTCCCACTCTTTGGAATGCAGGAGTGCTTGCTTACCAGCATCAAAAGCAATGCAGCAAACATGCTATGCAAACAGCTTAAAATACATTCATGATCCCTCTCCAATCATTGCTCTGCAAGGTTCATGGTTGAAGCAAGTGATTTCTCTAATCGGTCTTTTCATGCTGGTGGTGCATTTGCATTGCTTTCAGTGTGTGGAAAAGCAAATAGCTTACTCTTCCAATTCGTTCCTCCAATCTCTTCTCTGCAAGGGCTAAAAAAAACCAGGCAGGTATAGGACAGCATGTACTGACTAATAATCACATGACTAAGGGACACTTGGAAGATTGTACATGATTGTAAATGGCCGTCAGATTAATTTTCAGCATATTATAACTTCAAACTGTTACTGAACAAATGGTCAGTAACTGAGGACTAATTTAGTTAGAACAACTAATATTTGAAAAAGCTAGCATTTTGGTTTTAAACCATGTTATATTGTAAATAAAATAACATAATTTTGATTGTTATTTAATTTTTTATAGGGATGAGGATGCTCCTGCTAAAATTCCAGATGAAGATGCTGTGAAGCCAGAAGGTTGGTTGGATGATGAGCCAGAATATGTAGCTGATCCTGATGCAGAAAAACCAGAGGATTGGTAAGTTAATATTGGTCTCACAATATATTTAGCTTTAGGCCATGGTCCTAACTATACACGTGCAGTGATCATAATTGTGAGGACCAGTCAGAAGTCTTTTTTTTTAGTGCTGTTGTAACTTTGAACAGTCACTAAACAAATGGCGACTACATGTCCACACAAGTTTATAAGAAAATTGAAGAGTAACAGATGTAACGTTTTGAAATGGCCAAATCAAAGTCCACAAATGCCAGAAATTTTGTAGCATAACTTGAAATGAATAGTTTGTGCTAGTTTGTGCTCTCAAATGCTTCCATGTTGGAGCAATTTACCAGGACAAATGATCAAAACTAATACATAGCAAAGTTGAGTGACTGATCACCAATTACTGGAAGAGTTCTGTTGCAGTTAAAGCTGATTGCAAACAGTTACTAGATACAGAGTAACAGAGTTGGAAGGGACCTTGGAGGCTTTTTAGTCCAACCCCCTGCTCAAGCAGGAGACAACTATTTTTTCATACTCAAATATCATATGATGGATGATTTAGTTTGTGAAATAAATCAAGCAAGCATCTAAGTTTAGTGTTACTTGTTAACACAAATTTTCTCTATTTCAATAGGACCCGTGAGGTTCTGGTAATAGTAGCAAAGATACAGAAGACTGAAAAGGGCAAATACTTTCTCATAGCATAGGCCAATATAAATTGAATTTCAACTGTATATTATAGCACAAAGTTTCTCTCTGATTATGTGTCAATAAATGGAAGCAATCCGTATAATACTAGTAAATTATTTTACATGATAATTTTTCAGTGATGATGTATTTTATGCTAACCTAAATAAAATTATAACATTTCAACACAGTAATTTATACTGTATTTTTATGTTGGATTAATCACTATAACTTTAATTGCTATTGATAGTGTCTCTCCCATGCACATACTCTGCATTTATGAGAAAGAGAAAATCCTAAAGCAGAGATTCATGTTTTAGGGATGAAGATATGGATGGAGAGTGGGAGGCACCCCAGATTGCAAATCCCAAATGTGAATCTGCTCCTGGCTGTGGTACCTGGCAACGACCCACAATTGACAATCCAAACTATAAAGGCAAATGGAAGCCTACTATGATTGACAACCCCAACTATCAGGTATATTATTTTAAAAATCTCTGTCAAGGAATGTTTCTTTAGGTATTATTTCAATGTTAAACTAGGTATATTGTCAGGTCATTATGCAGAACTAAATTATAACACTTTTATACAGGTGGATGATTATTTATAGAGAGTAAGCTTGTGAATTTACCTCTACATCAGCCCTGGGCACAGGCTGTATAGTCCACAGGCCACATCCAGCCCTTTGGCTATCGGTATCTGGCCTGCAGTGGTGCCACGGGCTGCAATTGCAGCCCTCTTGATTCAGCCCTCCGTAACAGTTCCAGTTCGTCCCTTCAGAAAATTTTACATGAAAAAGCAGAAATAGTCTTGTGGCACCTTAAAAGTTGCTACAGCATAAATTTACAAGACTACTTCATCCAGTGTGTGAAATTCTGCTCTCAGATGTTAGTATGTTTATTCATGTGGTTTGGAAGGTGCGAGGCCATAGGGAAGTGAATGGAACAAATATAATCAGGGACCATTCTGTTGTTGAATGTACGCATAAAAATTAACATTTGTTTACAAGCAACTAGGTGACAACACAATCAGTGTACCAATGGTGAGATTATTCACTAGGCTAGAAACCAGGAGACTGAGTTCTAGTCCACCCTTAGGCATGAAAGCTCTCTCAGCCCAACTAACTTCACAGGTTTGTTGTTGTGAGGAAAGTAGCAGAAAAATGTATTGGGTATGTTCACTGCAGTGACTTAAAAAATAATAAAGGTGGAATAAAACAAAAATATAAACTAAAATGAAGCCATTGTCTCCTAAGGGAAGAATGGGTGAAAAAAGCGATGGGAGATGGCAAAACAAACTACTTAAATAATTAAAGAAAGGAATCTATCCAGTTTTCTTTCTACTTGAAAATTGCTTCTGGACTTTATATCCAAAAGAGAAAAAAAATAAAACTTTGTTTCTGAGTTTTGTTGATTAGATTAATTTGTTGTGGTAGAAATTCCTAGTACTTACTAAATATGCAAGGGAAAATTTTCAGACTATTTAAAATTTTACTGCATTGAAAAAAGTTAGAAGTCACTGCTTCCCCTCCCCTTTTACCTTGCATTCTTTTCCCTTTCTTTCCCTTCCCCTGTTCTCTTACTATCTTAGTTTCTGTTTGTGTTTGTATAATACATTCCCATACAAAATATAAAATAAAGCTGTTGTCTCCATTAAAATCCAGGTAACTTCTCAATGAATTGTAATCAATAGTCTATAAAGTGCCACAAGATTGTGATGCTACAGAGAATAATTTAAGTACCTCTATAGAAGCTGCCTTATATGGCAGTAGACTATGATTTATATTTTGTCAATGTCTGCTCAGGCAATGTCTCCCCAAATATCACCACAGTGTTTTTACAGCTTTCTTCATAACATTTTAATTGGATATTAAGATTTCTATTAATCTATTCAGTTTAGGAATTTTTGAAGTATTAATTAAAATGTCTGAGTAATTAAAACTTACAGAATTGATTCAGTGATGTCTGTGCATTATTTAGGGCATCTGGAAGCCAAGGAAGATTCCAAACCCTGACTTCTTTGAAGACTTACAGCCATTCAAAATGACCCCCTTTAATGCTGTGGGACTTGAATTGTGGTCTATGACTTCAGATATATTCTTTGATAATTTCATTATCTGTACTGAGCGAGCAGTAGCAGATGATTGGGGTAATGATGGATGGGGCCTGAAGAAAGCAGCTGATGGTGCTGCTGAGGTGAGAAAGAAAAGTTTAATTTTTTTCTAATAGTGCAGCATAAAACGGAATTTAGAAATTCTTATTTTTTCTTTTCTATTAAACAGATTGATTTGTATTTTTCTCTTTGAGAAAAGAGAAACAAAACTTCTCTTTGTGGCCAATAGAAGCACAGCTTTATTCCGTTTTTTCATAATGTTCGAGTGTTGTTAGTTGGAGTGTGCTAACTCATTTTCATTTTTCATTATTTTTTAATGGCTAGGTTAAGTAACTTTGGCATTTTTTAAAGATTTGTAGCCTTAGATAAAGTACTAGTTTAATACCGGATCTTAGGATCAAAAGTATTTTCTTTAAACTTAAGGCAGAAGAAAGCTGAATCCTATCAGGTGAAAGCTGCTAGACTATTGGCCAACTGATTCAACTGGCTGTGAAAAACCATTGCTAGCAATAGCTTTACAGATCTTCAGACCTGAGTTTTTCAGTCAGCATGCTCTAGCATTCTTTCCATTAGGTATTTTCAAGAAACACTAAATGGTGAGATAACTCTCAAATATGCATGCTTAATCTTCTTGAAAAACCCTTAAGATTGCTCTCATAGAATATATTAGTTACAACAGTGCGGAAACTGTTGCAGTAATTAATATTTGGAAATGTTAGTTGTTAGATTTAGAAATTACCAATCATCTTAAATATTTAATACACTTTAAAGCTGCATAAATAGGGTGAGGGTTCTATAAATATATTAATTTATATGACTTAAAGTAACTATGTAACTTTGAGTACCATGCTATAAAAGTTGTAGTAGGTATGTGTTAATAATTCAGTGGACTTATATCTCTCTGGCAACTATATTGTTTACTATACCAAATGGATATGCATATATTTAGATTTAAATTTATCTTCTAGCCTGGTGTTGTGACCCAAATGATGGCTGCTGCTGAAGAACGTCCCTGGCTTTGGATAGTATATATCTTGACAGTGGCTCTGCCGGTTTTTCTTGTTGTTCTTTTCTGTTGCTCTGCAAAGGTGTGTATGGATGTAGTTGATTTTAAACATTTTGTTTGATAAACTGAGAAAGAAAACAGACCATTTTAGAAGAACTGAACTTGAAAACCCTTTCAACATCTTATTTCAGACAAAACAACCTAGTGCTGCAGAGTACAAAAAGACAGATGCTCCTCAACCAGATGTAAATGAAGAAGAGAAGGTGGAGGAGAAAGAAAAAGAAGAAGAGGAGGAGGAGGAGGAAGAAGAGGAAGAATCAAATGAAAAAAAGCCTGGTAAATAAAAGTGTCCCAAGCTTGGAAATGACTAAAAGCGTTCTGGAAAATTCCCCATCTTCAAAAAACCTCTCGATTTCTGAGAAAGGGAAGATGAATATTGCAGTACAGCAAAAGCTCGAAGGTGTTGATTATTCCCAGTTATCTGTTATATCATCCATGGTATAGTTACTACCCAAATTCACATAAATGACATAAAATTATATTAACACGTCAGGAATTTTGTCTGTTGCATTGAGGTCTGCAAAACTGACACTTTTGTTGTAAAAAATATTAATACCCTTGTGATACTTTCTTTAGAAGAGAAGGAGAGGAATGATGGAAATACAGAAAATGTGAGCCAAGAGGAGGAAGCAGAAGAGGAAGAAGAAGAAGAGGTAGAGATGGAAGAGGAAGAAGAAAGCAGGGACATTACAGAGGCAAGTATTTAATTACATAAACTTTGAGACAAATATTAATACAAGCTATTAGGCCGTTAGTATATTTAATAAGCCTAATTTACAGTACATTGCCTCCTAAATCTATAACCACAACTTTTCCATGGGAATCAAGAGAGACAACAAAAAGTATGCTATAATGAAACAGTAAATATTTATGTACTAACATCACATGTTGGGATACAAATTTGTTAAGGCAGATTAGCATTTCTTATTTTTTTTTCCAACACTGTGTGCAGCTGCAGGGTTTGAGTCCATATATGCATTATCCATATACTCAACGGACAGGTGTCCAATTTTACAAAATTCTGAAAGCCAATGAAGCCATTATTTTTTCAAAAAATATTTGAGTTTAGGCTGCTTGTTTGTCAAATGATTCTGAGTGGCTTATAAAGAATTAAAAACAAACCATTGCAAAGAGAAAAATATGAAAGAATGCAGCACATACACCAACCTTCCCCACATGCACCCCCCCACCCACCCATGCTGTGTGTAAAATGCAAATTCATATTATTGGATGGTTTTATCCAATAAAACCTTTGCCAATGCCTGCAGGAAGACCCAAATTGGGAACTCAGGTGGTGAGAGGATATTCTTCAAAGAGCAAGTGCAGCAGAGAAGGCAGGTCTCCTTGGGTCTTACAAGATGACATTGACCGGCTGGCTTGCTTACTTACTTATTTACTTACTTTACTAGTTTCTGTAATTTGCAGATAATCAAGGATTGAATGTTTTCTCTGTTCTAAAGTTAATAATTCTAAAAGAAAATATAGAAACATAGAAAACAGACAGCAGAAAAAGACCCAGTGGTGCATTGAGTCTGCCCTTTGATTTTTGGATTGTTCGTTTGTTTTTCTTTTTAATTTATTATTTATTGTTTTTTATTATTTTTATTTTTGTTGAATGATAGACCTATGTTTATCTCAGACATGTTTAAAATCAGTTATTAAAGATTGACCCACTACCTCCTCTGGAAGTTAGTTACAAGTTTCCACTACACTTTCTGTGTAGTAATATTTTCTAACATTTTTGAACTTCCCTCCTGTCAGTTTGAGATTATGCCTCCATGTTCTTGATTTTTGCTTAATATTGAAAATCCTAAATCTTATTCATTCCCTTAATATATTTAAATGTTTCAATCATTTCCCCTTTCCTTTCTGTCCTTCAAGCTGTACATATTAAGTTCCTGCAATCTGTCTTGATAATGTTTTGTCCCTCAGACTTTGCACCATTTTTGTTGTCCATCTCTGGACTTGTTCAATCTTCTACTTTTTTGTAAGTTAGGTTTCCAGAACTGGACACAATATTCCAAATGGGGACTGACTAAAGCCTTATATAGTGGGATTAGGGCCTCCTTCTTCATGCTGGTGATCGTCTTAACAATACATCCAAGAATTTTGTTTGCCTTCACAGTTATCTGGCCACATTGTTTACTCATTTTGCAGACATCTGCTATGAGTAAATCTAAATGCTTTTCTTCTGCTGTTCTAACACTGTACCCCAATACTATACTCTGCCAGAGGATTCTTTTTCTCCAAGTTCATGATTTTATATTTAGAAACATTGAACTAGATTTTCCACATATTTGACCAATTTTCCAGCAGTGCCAAATCATTTTCCATGTTACGAATACCTCCAAGAACATCAACTCTATTACACAAATTTGTGTCATCAGCAAAAAAACAAATTTACCAAGCAATCCTTCAGTTATATAACTTACAAACATGTTGAACAGAATAGAATCTAGAACTAAACCTTGTGGCACAGTATGTGTGATTGGTTTCTGTTCAGACAGTATCCCATTAATAATCACACACCGGGCTCTACCCTGAGTGAACTTCCTATCCACTGAACCACCCAGTGGTTAAGCCCTAGCCTGTACAACTTTTTATGAGCTCATTACATGAAGTTGTAGCAAATCAAGATAGTAATTCAACTTTGTTACCTTTCCTACACTTTTAACTTCCTACTAATCTTCACAAAATTTTATTTATAGCAACTTTTTCCAGTTAGTAATATTTCTAAATGAAGTTACATATAACTGTACAAATTATTAGATTATTCTGACATTGAACGCTATCAAGTGCAATCTGATATATTCACAGAGTTCATTCCCATATGAGCGTATTTGATATTTTTTGAAGTATACATTGTTGATGCTAATGTCAAATGTTAAAAATATTAAATCTTAAGGTTTTGTAATGCCGTTTACAAAAATAACCCTGCATTTGATTTTTCTGTTACCCTAATATGTATGTTAGAGTTGAAACATTTTTATTGTTTTAATATTGAAAGAAATAAGCATGTAGGATAATAGTTCAATTTGATTGATATCTTAAAAGTCAGGCTTAGGGTTTTAAGAAGTAGCTTGTCTCTGTTCAGCAGTGCTAACAATTGTTAAAACAAACAACATCTACTGATGTACATTACTCTTGAGATCTCAATAAATTACCTTTGAAAATATCTACTTACTACTTTTAAAGCTAAATATCTGAATGTAGCTGGATTATTTATATGTTGTTTTATGTTTGCAGGAGGAAGAAACTGTGAATAGGTCTCCCAGAAATAGAAAACCAAGAAGAGAATGAAATATCCTAAAAACTTAATCTGATGATTTTTTCTGATATGGTTTTGGGAGAGGACCATGGATACCTTTTGCTGAAAATCAAAAATCTTCAAAATTCACCATCCATAGGTTCCTGTCAAATACTCTGCAGTGAAAAGTGTTTAGCAGTCAAATATTTGCAATTGTGTTTCTAAATAATATTCCTGTAGAAAAAGAATGCGTTTAACACAACCCGGCTATGAATTTCTGGAATGTTACAAAAACTAACATTTTTATTTTGTTTTTAAATAGATGATAGAATTACCAGTCTCAAAACTTTTGGCTTAAATTAATGTATTAATCTATCAATGGAAGTGAAGAGCAAACCTTAAAGACAAATGCCAGATGTAAAGTTTTTATAAGTCTTTTCTTTCTTACAAAGATGGAAATTCTTATACAACTCTTATTTCTCATAGTATGATCATGTTAAATGTAGGATAAAGTTAAAATCCATTTGAAGCAATCTTCAAGCGCTCAAACTTTCTTATTGATGAAAAGCCTGTGGCCATGAAATACTCAGATTGGTCATAGATACAGCTCAGTTAAAACAGTGTTTGCACTAGTCTGAATTTAGGAGCAGATTTTAGTGAGACTGGATTGTTTTGTTCATTTAGATTTTGAACTTTTTCTCAATTTGGAATTTGCTTTCAGTTTTTGTGGTCCCCCCTCCCCCAGTTTTTTTAAACATTTCCTTCTGTTCCAGCTGTTGCTTCTCCTGTACAGTTTTTTCAGATGCAGCTTTCCTGCTAGAGAATACACTTGTTTAGCTCACTGTTAAAATTGTGTTTCTTATTCTCAGAAGGTAACACTACTTATTTCTGGGTCCAAACATTGAAACAGGACAGTGTTGCTAACCTTCCTATTGTTGCCATCTTATGTACATTTATGCACAGGATAAAAGGCACAGGCAAGCTGATCTTTCAAGTTTTATTTGTGCTGAAAGCAAATGTCAGTATTTGTGGCTGAGGAATAAGCATGTGAAAACTTGGCATATGTAACATTTTGAATCTCAGTGCTCTTCATGTATCAAAATGTTGTGAATCTAGGGGGTTCCAGATGAATAATTTTTTTAAAAATATGTTGCATTGAGTATCTAGCTATTCAGAAATCTTATGTAGAATACAGAGTGTTTACTTAAGAAAAGCATAATCCTCTATATTATATTGAAGTGCATGATGGAGGAAAGCGAAAAAGAAATATTTTGCCACCTGTTGTTCTTTATTTAAATATATGGCACTGAATTAAAACACTCCCAGTTTCTACTTGGTGGGTAAGAATTTTTCAGAGTAACTAAGATTTTATACTTTTGTTCAGATATAATTATATACATAGCTTTTTCAAAACAAGACTAACAGCTGTCTTGCAGATTATTTTGCAGAACCCTCAGTTCTGTTATCTTTCCAAAACAGCAGAATTATCCTCATTTGAAGCTACAGTGCTTGCAGCCTTTGGCTTGCATTCCAGCATCATTCCTTGCACATCTATAATAGTTGTGCGAGACTTTTTATTTTTCTCCTTGTGTCCTCCAGAGAGCTTTATAAACTTGGCATCCATTCCACTGGTAGATTCAATTTAATACAGTCAGTGCTTGCTTCCATAGTTTCTGTTGTCTAGTCAGGATGTTTAAATGAAATTATTCCCCCTAGTTTCTTCTATTTTTTTCTACATCATTGACTTGCAGTGGCTATTTAATACTAGTACTAATTTTAATGTGCTTGGGTTAATGTTTTTTGATCATCGTCTTCACTTTTTGTGAAACATATATTCCTTTCTCCAGGATATTGGGAAGAATGAATCTGAACTCATAAGACCTCTTTAGAATACTCCTCTGTTTGCATGTTTTAGCCTTTTTTCATGTTAGTGAAATGTACTTTTTTAAATGCCCAGTGTAACCTCTGAAGCCTTATTAAGACTACTTAGTACTGGGAGAAGATTGTCATCTGCTATTTAAGAATAATAAAGCAAAAAATTAATATAAAAAGTAATTTGTAATTTCCAAGTAATTTGGGGTGCTGAATTGGTAACTTAATGGATGATTTTAAAAAACTATGGAAAACCATTCCGATGCAGGAAATATTTTTACACTGACATAGTTGAACTCTTGGTTGGAAAGAAATAGACTTATAACAGACTTTTAGGAAATGTTCTAAAGAATTTTAGAATGAATAAGATATTTGACTACTTCTGTTTGAAAAAGAAAGTGCATTGTAGCCATTTCAAATCAGTCACAGTTCATATGCAACATATGAAGATATAGATGCTTTAAAAAAGATAAAGATCTTAACTAAATGTGTGTTCTGTCTTAGAATACTTACCCCATTTCATATGGGGATGTTATGGTTGACAGGAGAGCAGAACATGATTAACCATAAATGACAAAGGTTATCCTAGATCTCCATAATGTGGCCCCAGCTCTCCTGTGACACTAAATATGGTGCTAAGAATACATTTCTTCGCACCTCTTTGCCTTCTCTATTATAATTTTCTAAATGCCAGTATTGTTTGACGCAGGGTTCAAGTGTTGGTAAACAAGATTGTGACTTAAGTCCTGACTGTTGTAAAAATCTGAAGATGCAGTATGCATATAAATATATTGGTTAAGTTATAAACAAATGTAAGCTTACTTGATCAATAAAGAAACATAGATCACTATTTTTCTACTGTCTAGTCTGCAATATTTTGGGGGATTGGCTTTCATAATCTAAAGAGTTGATAGATAGAAGAGTTGATAGATCTTCCTTCAGAACTATTGCTATGTTGTGAAAAAACTGAACAAAATGCAAAGTGATTAAATTGTTTGCATTATGTTTTAAACATCCTACTGAGAATATTTTGATTGTTAAATATTGGATTGTTAAAAGAGTGGAAATTTAAAAGGTATGAATAATACCATATTGAGGTAGTGGTTCCAAATTGGTTTCATAGTGAGCATCTTGCGTTTAGAAACATGAGCCTTCATGAAATGTGTTAATCTTTGTAAAGTGTTCAAAGTACACGTTCATATCACTGTTTATAACCTTGTTGTTCTAGTATAACATGCACAATTTCAATATGAAAATTGACTACCATAGAAAATATTTTAATTATTGATACATAGTTAATACACATTTGATTTACATATCACATATTTCTAAGATATGAACCATTAATTATAGAAGAAATGGAATGATTATCAATGAATAGCCTTTCTTACGTTTCAAACTTTCTGCTACTGGTAGTTACAAATTTGCTTCCTAGAGTAATTGTGACTTTAAAAGTATGCTGTGATAGCTTGGTGCAAGTTTGTATGCCAAAATAATTCTATTTATTTGGAATATTTTTATGAAATGAAATAGTCTTCATTTCAGAAATGTTATGAAATACCCCAAGAATGTGGCCTTAAAAGTTGTTTGTGTGTTAAACGTATAAGATACTTTTCCTTAAGGAAAAGCAATAAATTGCTTCTTTTAATCCAATAAATTGTTGGATTCATTCTTTTTTCAACGTTAGGTTTAAACACACAAATGTTCTCTAAATACATTGTAACATAAATCACAAGTAATATGCTTAAACTAGAAACAACACTAAAACTTACCAGCAATTTAAAAAGCCTAAATTATAGATACACTGGAAGTTACATAAATGTATGTATACCTACCTACCTGTTCAAGAGTTGACACTTTCACTAGTATTTTAGAATCCGGTCAAAATCTGCAGATGCTTACACATTTCCAAATACACTGGGGCTTTTTTCCCCAAACATACAAAAGAGTTTGCATTCTGACCTGATCAAATTTCTTGCTGGCAGCTGGTTTTTGAGGTTGTTGGATGATCTTTTGACCTAGCCTCCATTGGTGTACTTAAGCCCTTTGAGCGGAACTGCACCATCAAGCAAGAGGAAAAGAAAGTTTAATATTTTCGTGCTTTCCAGTGAGAGGTGAAAACTTTTCTCCTTTTCTCCAGTTAACATTTATTTATGTTATCCCATGGGTTAATCTAAGACTATTCTCAACGCCCTGGATTGTTGAGAGTTGGGCGGCACTTAATTTATTATTGTCGGGGAAAAGCGTTACTATATTACATAATCAGGAGATTAGTAGCCGTAAACATTTCTATGTTTTAAGAGGAACCAGACTTAGGTTATTTTTTTTTTATACCATGTTAATCGTTAGTCCGGCAAAGAAAACTTTTAAATCAGGGAATACATGGAAGAAGCCACTTAAAATGGCAGTTGTCCTTAATTTAAAGGAAAGGCTGGTGAGAATTCAAACGCTTGGTTCGGCCTTTATTGCTCATTTGCATATTTTCAGTGTAAAACCCAACTACCGTTCAGTATTTACTTTTATGTATTCCTACACTTATTGCCCAATACGTATGCGAGGGGCAGGCCTATAAGTTTCAGCCATCCCAGCACAAGCTGCATACGGGGACATTTCCTGTCAATCATAAAGTTCCACCCCTTCTACTTTTCCGGAAAGGTCGTAGAGAAGTGGGGGGAGGAGAGAAACGGAAAGGGAAATCCCCTCCCCCAGCTTTTCCCCCGCCCTTTTGTTTTCCATTCCTATCTCCGATTGGCTCTTTGAGCAGTCTGTTAACGCCTACTGCCAGTGAGTGCGTGCGCCGTGACGTCTGCCACTACCTAGGAAAGGCCACCCGCTCCGGACTGGGCAGGCTTCCCAAGTGGGGGAGAAAAGGGGTAAAACAATTTCAAGATGGCGGCGGCTGAGGCGCGGATAACAATGGGAAACGGGAGGTTTGGGTGGCTCTGGGCCTGAGCTAGATTGGGGCAGGGGATTGAAATCACCGGGCCTGCATCGGGAAGGCGGGCTCAGTCGGGTCGGGCGGCATTGGGGCGCCCCCGCCTGAGAAAGGTAGTGGTGACGGCAGAAGAAGAGGGAGAATTGGGCTCCGAAGTGCCCGGTGTCCCTCGCCGCCAGCTATGGCGGAGTGAAGAGCCGGCTGCTCCCGGTGCTGCCGTTTTCCCGCTCGCGGCTCATGGTTCTGCCCCCTTGCCCCATGGCGGAGTTCGTGGTGTCGCAGCACAGCGCGGTGATGGAGCGGCTCCGCCGGCGCATCGAGCTTTGCCGGCGGCATCACAGTGCCTGTGAGTCCCGCTACCAGGCCGTGTCCCCGGAGCGCCTGGAGCTGGAGCGCCAGCAGACCTTCGCCCTTCACCAGCGCTGCTTGCAGGCGAAGGCCAAGCGAGCGGGGAAGCACCGCCAGCCGCCCCTTCCTCCCCCCACTGCGCCACCTCCGACGGCTCCTTCGCATCCGCCTTCCTCTGCTCCGGCCCCTGGGGCCGGGGGCTCTGCGTCTACCTCCACTTCTTCCGACCGGCCTGGAGTCAATGGTCTGGACGGTGACACCGCGGGCGGTGAACAGCAACAGCACGGCCGTAGCAGCGCCCTCATCGCGGTAAGCTCCAGATGTCGGGGCCAGGGGTTTGTTTCAGCTCGCAGACAGCCCACCCGCCCTTAAAATAAATTGTGTGTTTGTAGTTTGGATTTAGGCGGGTTCCTGTTTGTCAAAATATTAGCATCCTTTAGGAAAGTTGCGAAACTTTTAAAATGGAAAAGATTTACACTCCCGTGTGTATGGTTTTTTTTCTTTCACATTAAAATTTCAGAATTGTAGCAGTAACATTTTTCCCCGTCTTCCACTTGATACTTTGAGCAAAAGATACTTTAATCATTGTTTGTGCTTGTTTTACCTATGCATATTATCTCTTCACTTTGCTGCTTCAAGCAGTTTTAAATGGCCCGTGAGTTTTTTTTTTAAGAACTTGAAAAATCAGCAAAGTAGACATCTGTATTATTTAATATAAAATTAAAAGTAAACTGAAGCAGATTTATTTTATTTAAAACTGCAAATGAACGTATTTGCTTTTAAGTATATGACCTCTGTAAGAAGGCAGAAATAATACATAATGGCTTTGTTTCCTTCACTTAAATACAAATCTTTCCCCAAGGATCGGAAAGTGATTCACCTGGGAGTTATTTTGGTTTATTTTTACGACAATATGAGCAATAGGTTTGCCTGAAAGTGTATCTGTTCTACTTACAAGAACCTCCAATAGTTGCTCAACGACAAATGATTTGAACCTCTTCTGCTTTTTTGCACTAGATAGGCGATAAAGTAGGATATATATTACTAGCATCTTGAGAAAATAAATGGAAAACAGAAACGTAATGTCTATGTGGGATTTTCAAGGAAATCTAGTTTCCTTCTTATAGTGTTCTAAACAAATATTTCTATAATATTTTGTAAGAGTAATTGATAAGGCTGTTTATGCCTATTTCTCTCCTAAATTAGGATTTAAAGATGTATTTGAATGTGTCTGTATCAGCATATATTTATTAACTTTTTCTGGGTTGCTAGAGGAGCAGCACTATATAATCCAGAACAATTAGGGAGGATTGGTTATCTACAGCAACTTTATTGTAGTTTGTTATCTCAGACAATATATATTCCATTTTCATTTTGAACTATTTACCTTTGAGTTAGGTATACTAGAAATAGAGCAAATTCTGTGGGGTTTTTTTTAAATTGTACAAGAACAAATTATAAGATAATTGTCTTTTAGATACTTAGGTGTTCTAGCTAAAATTGTTAATTCATGTGACAGTGCTTCAGGATCCAAGCCTTCAACATGTTTTCTAGATGAACATTTAAAGTTTAATATCTACAAATACTGGAGATAGAATATAGGCATTTTATTGATCAATGTTTTCTCTAAATTTAATCAAATTTATTTTGGAATTGGAGGACTCACGTAATGTCTGTACTGTATTAATAGCACAACTCAGTATAATTCAGAATACACTGGAAAAGTGGAATGCTGTTAATTTGTTACAAATTGATTACAAGTAAAATCCTATATATTCTTCCTGTCAGTAGTGAAGGAAATATGTAGGTAAAGTGGAAATGAGCTGGAATAGCTGCCTGTGATTTTAAAGCATGTAAATTATCTTTATGTTCCTAATAAATTAGGGTACAAGAAGGGGAAAAAGTTTCCTCTGTCATTTTAAATTGTGATATTTTCACATGGTAGAATCGGAAGTTGTCTGATCTATTAGTCATTTCTTTGTTTAGAATGTAGCTGGACAGAGATAGGTCATAGTCCAAATGATTGGTCACATTAATTTTTATTTGAGAGTAAAAGTTATATGGCACTTCTGTGCTTAAAAGAGGAAAACAAAACAAAATGTAGCAATACATTTTATAAAGTTAATGTAAGATAATCAGTGTTAAATAGACTAGTCATATCTTCAGAGGAAAACATCTCTCTCTCTCTCTCTCGGTTCCTTTAGCTGAGATTTATGCGTTGTTACATTCAGTGGCTTAATGGCCTCTTCCAACCCTATAATTCTATAATCCACACTGGAAAAATCAGGCCTATCTAGTTCAGCTATTCTGTGTCACATAATGACCTATCAAATCTATTCAGGAAAGTTTTCTATATTTTTATATCTATCTATCTAATATTCCTGTCATTGGTCAGGATTTCCAAGCTTTTCTGATAACTTACTTGAGCTGTTGAATTTTTCAATTAGTTATATATTGGGAAAATTGAATAAAACCTGACTAGATAATATATTCTCTGACTGTACATGATACTTTATAGATGAGTTGTTTTTAATGCAGCATTGAACAGTTTGAGAGTGCTATATCCTTTAATAGTAAAGTTTAGGCTATGAGTAATATATGTCAGTGTTGTTTCATTCATTTGCTATTGTGGTTAAGGTGCTGGCCTAGAAACCAGGAGGCTGAACTATAATTGGTAAATCTTACTTAAATTTAAAAGAAACTGGCATCAAATAATAATATAAAGAAAATATCAGAATTCTCTTTCTGTTAACTGTCAATAACTTTTCAGAATGTTTAATACAGAAGATAAATTCAATATTTTTATTAGGTACAGTATATACAGTCCCTTACATATGAACAGGTTATATTCTGAGAGGCTCTTCATAAGTCCATTTTGTTCTCAAGTCAATAAGCATAAAAAATTGTGTACTTCAGTTCAGTACTGGATGGTGGTCCAGTAGGTTTGGGAGGCAGGTTGTGGGAGGACAGGGGAGGTAGGTTTCTGGTACACAGCATACATGTGCAATGTGCCAGAAGCTGGCCTTCTCTCAACTTCTTTTCCCATCTTCTCCCACTTCCACCCAGGGTTTACTGGACCCATCAGGTTTGCTTCAGTGCTGCCATGCATGGAACTCCCAACCTAGAGGGTCCTGGGAATCAGGAGAGGACAGGAAGGATTGGTTTCTTGCACGCTGCATATATATGCTGCGTGATGGAAGCTGGCCCTTTTCTGCCTTCTCCAACCTCCAAATGTGGACAGGATAGTTTGAATTGGCAAATATGTACAATTAAAAAATTCATTAGTAACGTCTCTAGTCAGATTTCTGATAAGTTTATATTGAAAGAACAAAGCATACTATGCTGATGGATAGTCTAATGACAAAATGCCACCCCAATTGAAAATGTAAAACTCAAACTTGCCTTGAATCCAGAGTTGTCTTTTTACTGTCTAGAGCAGGGGTCTCCAACCTTAGCAACTTTAAGCCTGGCGGACTTCAACACCCAGAATTCCCCAGCCAGCAAAAGCAAGTACCAAGTACCTTTTCCCCACAATAAGTGGATTCTGTTTGTGGGAATTTAAAATCCAAAGTGTTCACATTTTTTTAGAAAAGCTAGTACATTTTTGGCATGCTAACAATTATTGAAAATTTTGCATAAAGAACAATTAAAATGTTACTTTGTATTTAGCATTTCAAAAATGAACTCTGGATATCCAACTTTTAATAGGAACCATTGTTTGATTACATTGTTAGGAAGAAAAATCTATTCTTAACTTGCTTTCTATTAGAAATATCAGGAAAAGAGCACTGAGGCACTATGTACACTTTTTTACTTCTCTCTTCCCATAGTGTAGGCAGCTGTGTTCAGATGGCATCAAGCATACCTGGGGGCCAGGTACAGGTAGTCCTCAACTTACAACTGTAATTGAGCTCAGAGTTACGGTTGTAAGTCGTGCCTTCAATGAGTCACCATGTGACTGCACGCAATTTTATGAGATTTTTTGCAGCAATCATTAAGGAAACACTGCAGTTGCTAAGTAAACATGATGGTCATTAAGCAAAACCATTTTTGCCAGTGGGCATTTTTTTCTGGAAACCAGAAGTCAACACAGGTTTCTGACAAAAAAACATAAATTGCGGTCAGGTGACCCTGCAACACTGCAATCAGCTGTAAATGCAAATCAGGTGCCAAGCATCCAAATTCAGGCATGTGACAGAGGAGAGGACCACCAACGGAACTTCAA